GGGAGAGCAGGCCCCGGCGTTACTAACAAGCAAAGGTGGAATTACAGAAATGTAGAGGTCAAGGTCTCACTGAATTCCTCTTGAATATCAAAAGAATCCCACAGCAGAAGTTGGACAATCTTGCTGAAAAGAACAGACGGAATGATTTTCAGATAGCTTCAGATGGTGAACCGTCATAATTCTTTACAGTTCTGAAAGTGCTTAATATTTCCAGAAAACTTTCAAAATGGTAATTTAACAACTGGATTTGGGGAAAGGAAAGTGTGTCTAGAAGAACGCTATTTTCCAATGAGGTCACTGTAAATGGATTCTTTATTTGGTTCATAATTAGTTTCAACTTCACACACGGCTGACACAAAAAAGATAAGGGAAAGCATAAGAGGCCGACTATAAAAAAATTAAAAATGTGCTGTGTACCGCTCACGTTTCAGATCTCCAAAATTACAAATAAAAACAGGTCATAAGGAAACATGGGTTAAAAAGGGCGCAGTTTTAACCAATGCAAGCGAGCCTAACTGTCAACCCCATTAACTAGATTCTAAGGTGTTTTTCCACACCTTAATTGGATGTGTTAAAATAGACATCTAAATAGAGGTTCTTCCCACACATCCCCCCAAAACCTTCTTTTTAAAATGTTAATTGTTCCAAAAGATGACATTTTAGGATTGCTGGAATTTCCCTGACTCCCTGTTTCAAACGGTGCTTTAAAAAAAAGCCTCAGTGTTTACAACTGTTTTGAAAACAATGCGCTCGTGTTATATTTAATTTATAGTAGAAATCCCGAAAGGAAATACTAATGATCAATTTGTAATTAACAGCATGAATCTGCACGCTGTTCACTAAGTCCCGAGAAGCGTTTGTTCTCTTTTTTTTTTTTCTTTTTTTTTTTTAGAGGCATGCTTTATTTATTTGTTTGCTGGTTTGTTTGTTTTGTTTATACATGCACTGGGTACAGTCAGAAGCGCGGGAGGGTGAGAGAATTCACCAGAGCCAGAGCGGGGAGCAGAGCAGGCAGAAGGACCGAAGGACACTGCTGAGGGGAGCAGCGGGCGGCAGGAGAGGTCTGCGCGCCATGCGGGACCCTCCTCCGGTGGCCGGGGAGCAGCCGGGGATCGAACCGGCGCCGCAGAGGCCGCGGGCAGCTTCGCAACCCAGCGCTCAACCGCTGCGCCACCGGGGTGGCCCGCGTTTGTTCTCTTAACTGTGTTACCCGTGGCCAAATCGAGAGCTGTTTACACGATTAATTAGATTACAGCAGACCCTTTTTCTCAGGCCCAGAGCAGACAGAAACTTCAGCCTGCGAACTTACATTTCATCATAGTAAGTGTCAGTGAATGACACTGAATTAATGAGGCCTTACTCTACTGGAATGCGAAACCGGACACGTGGAGTAACCGAAACGATGGAAACAAAATGTCAGTAAAACACATTCCCTACCAGTGCTTCTTGACACGCCACAAAGCAAGGCATTATTTAATAATCTGTTTCAAGTTACAAACATGCCATTACTGCTGATGTATTACATGCTTTGTTTTCTTCTGAAAGCGGGGCTGCAATCTCCTGGGGCTGCACGCACCGGTGGCCGGATCCTGGCTCGCTTCAGGGCGCTGGCTCCTGCCGCGGGAGCCTCCGGGGATTCCCCTGTCCCATCTCCACCAAGGCACCTCTGCCCTCAGCTCCCAGGAGAACGCTCCTGGTCCCGTGTCCCTGCAGCCGAGAGCACCCTGGCCAACGTGCAGCCAACCCCTACCTTGAGCGTTTGAGAACATCCCAGGAATTCGGCCCTCTGCAGCCCGCCAGGGCATGTGGAATGTCTACCACAAAATCAGTTTGGGTTCAAGTCCAAGGCCCATTCCAAAACGCCTGGACGTGGAACAGATGGGAGGGCAAGAGTCACAAGGAAACCACAGGCCGCCACCCAGCTTAGCTGCTTCCAGGTGCGTGACCGGCCTGGGGCCAGGCTCGCGGCCCGCAGGGAGCGGGAGGTGGGGCGGGGGGATAAAGGAAAAGCTGCCAAAGCTGGGAGCACCCACCGGGAGGCGTGTTGGGGGATGTGGGGGGACACCCCTTCTTCTACCGTGGCCCTCACTATTTTGCCGTATAGCCATGCGGTATTTCTTCTGAAACAACGTAAATCAGGAAAGGGCTCACATTATTGTGATTTCCAAAACTAGCATTCCCTGCCACTGTTTTCATCCAGGAATGGCCTGGATGAAGCCCTGTCCCGCTGAATGAAATGACTTTCTCTGAGGTAATTGGGCGCTTTCAGGCTGCCACTCTCTTTAACTTGCCAGGTTTAGAAAGCTGACGGGGCTCAGGGCCCTCGCTGGAGGATGCTGCGGCCCAAGACGCCCGCACCGCACCGCTACCGAGGGGGCGCCCACCTTCCTGCAGCTGGCTCTGGAGGCCCCGTCAAGAGCCGCTCCCCCACGCGGCTGCAAACAAAGCCACAGTGCAGCTTCGATAGGACTCCCCATGTCCCACAGCAGTCAGGTCCCTCGCAAGAAAACAACTGTAAACAGCCCACGGCGTGCCTGGCAGGGCTCTCTCCACAGGTGAGCAAACACACCGTACCTGGGGGAGGAGTTTAAGGAGCACTCAAGTTCCCGCACAGAGAAGGTCTTTCCTGCTGGAAAAATGAGTCTGCCTCAAAGGCTGACATTACATTCTTACAACTTCAAGGCAAGGTTTCCGCAGCCATCTTACGTAAATTTTTATTGCCACAAAAGATCATCTGGCCCAGTTTCCCACCACAAACTGTATACGCCCTCAAGGGAAGGGCTACTTTACAGAAGACTGAGGGTCACAATGGACAAGCACCCCAAATAACCACACAAAGGTGTGGGCACCAGCATGCCGACTGTCCGTGGCAACACCTGCTCAGCAACAGTACGGTCTACAGAGAATTGTCACGTCACAGCGAAGCCACTTTAAAATCGGGATTAACAGAACATCTTTCTATAAACAAAAGCTTATAATTTCACCTCAAGATCTCTTTCCAAAAAAATGCAAAGTTCACGCTTCCCATTTTGAGTCTCGTACCCACATTTGTATTTCCAAACCTTTGGAATTACGGGTGGCGATGTGGACGTACAATGAAAAGCCATTTGTAATCATCCACGTGGTGCGTGGGCTGCATATACACACCCGCCCACGCTCCTGCGTGTGCACAGCCCCAACCGGAGGCCGGGCGGCTGGCCGGCTCCCCCACTCCCTGGAGGCACCTCCACAGGGTCTGTGACAACCACGTCGCTGCCAATTTCAATTTTACATCAAGAATCCACACTTGGTGATGTAAAACAGGGAACACAAGGGTGCGTGTGCAAGAGCGGTGGTGACTGCCCACACGTCCTCTCAGCAGGGAGCTTTCCATTAACTGTTTTTGAAAATAGCTGATTTTCACCTACAGTTGGGCCTGCAGCTAAACCGCCAACATCAGGGCGATGTTTGTTATTCTCTGACATTTCGGCAAAAGCTCTTAATTTTTGAAAATGTCAGCAGAGGCCCTTAACACACCACACGGTTCTCCTGACCGAATCTGCAGGGCCTGCCTGAAAGGCGACCTGCGCACGGGAGTCCAATTCAGAATTATTTTGCAGAGACATTTCCTCCTTATTTTGGAGCACCCACGAATGTCACCCTGAAGCAGGAATCGGTGCAATGCTAACCCACACAAAAGACGACATTTCATTGTCTTTATGGGAAAAAAGGGAGCGAACACACACACACACACAGAGGAGGGAAAAAGCTGTGTAGGCCTGAGTGGCGGGAGGGGGTTCCAAGGCCCTGGAGGGTGTGGGTGCCAAGGAGCTGGGGCGGCCGCGCACTTCACCCAAGAGCTCGGCACCCACGACCTCACCACCTCGCCCTCCACTTGCACGCTCTGGTCGCAGCGGGCACTGTGGGTGTTGCACACACACCCTCGGAGCCAGCCAGGCTGCCTCCCTTCTGCGGGCGGCGGGACGCCAGGGCTCGTGCCCAGGGCTCCGCGGGGTCCTGACCCGGGAACAGGGATTCTGCTCAGGCCTGGAGGCCGCGCCCGCAGGCTCATCCTTCCAGGATTCCCGGGAGGCTCCCCCGCCGCTCCCCCACGGGCGGGGAAGGAGGCACCCAGCCGGGGCAGGAGAGCAAGGCCAGCCCCAAGACCGCCCCCGGAGGCGCCGGCCGGCACGCAGGACCCTCCCGGGAGGGCCGCCCGGCCCCGCGGGAGAGGAAGGGAGAGGAAGGCAGACAATAGAAGCCGGGGAGCAGGGCGGCCGGGAGCGGGGGCCGGGAGGCTGCGCCCGCGCTGCGCCCGCGGCGAGCCGCCCTGGAGGACAGGCCCCGTGGGCGGCGGGGCTGGAGCCCAGATTTCTGCGTCTCCCTCGGGGCCGGCGGGGGAATCCCGGCGGCCGGGCGCTCCCGCCGCCCCCCGACCCGCCCCCGTGCGCACCCCCGGGTCCCCGGGCGCCCTCGGTCGCCCCCGCCGGCACGGCAGCGAGCGTGGGCTCCCCGCGCTCTCCGGCCCGCGCGCGGGCGCCCCCGCGGCGCCCCACGGGCCCCCGCGCCCCCGGCTCGCCCCGCCCGCCCGCGAGGCCCCCGCGCCCCCGCCCGCGCCCCGCCCGCGGAGGCCCGCGCAGGCCCTGGGGCGGGGGGCGCGGGGACTGCTGCAGTGGCGCGCGGGGCGCCTCGGGCCGGGCGGCGGCGGAGAGCCGCGGCCCATCCACCGCCACCTTCATGCCTGAAGCCGTAAATCACCCTCCGCGGGGGACGCCGCCGCGCCCGGCCGCCAGCCGCCCACTTCCTATTCCTGTCACGGCCGCCCCGGCCCCAGCCCGGCCCGGCCCCGCCGCCCGCGCCCCCCGGGCCCGCGCCCCCCGCGCCCCGGCCCCCCGCGCCCCGGCCCCCCCACGCCCCCCGCGTCCCGGCCCCCCGCGCCCCGGCCCGAGGGGGGCCCGAGGGGGGCCCGAGGGGGGCCCGGGGGGCCCGAGGGCCCGAGGGGCCCAGGGCGGGCGCCTCACCTTTCACCACCCTGTCGGTCGTCGACAACTTGGGGTCGGAGGCCTTGGGCTCGGACATCTCCGGCCGCCGTCCGCGCCGCGCCGCTCCGCGTCCGATGCAAGCGCGGGCCGGCGGGACGCTCTCGCCGCCGCCGTGCGATCTGCCCGCCGCGGACTTGTGCCTGCGCCGCCCGCCGCCCGCGCCCCCCCGCCGCTGCTGCGCGTGCCGCCTGCGCTCCGAGCACGCCCCGCGCCGGGCGGGGCGGCCCTGACGCCGGGCTCGCCGCGCGGGGGAGGCCGCCGAGCGCGGCGCCGGCGGGGCGAGGCCGCTGTGCGCGCCGCCCCCTCAGCGCCGCCCGCGCTCCCGGCCCGTCCGCCGCCGCCCGCCCCGGCGCCGCGAGCCCGACGACCCGGCGCGGCCCCGCCGCCCGCGCCGCCGCCCCGCGCGCGCCCGCCCCCGCCGCCCGGCGGCCGCGCTCATTGGCCGCGCGCGCGTCACTCAGGGCGCCGCGCGCCCGCCCCCGCGTCACTCAGGGCGCCGCGTGCCCGCCCCCGCCGCCCGCGCCGCCCGCCCCTCCCCGGCGGCCGCGCTCATTGGCCGCGCGCGCGTCACTCAGGGCGCCGCGCGCCCGCCCCCGCCGCCCACGCCCGCCCCGGCGGCCGCGCTCATTGGCCGCGCGCGCGTCACTCAGGGCGCCGCACGCCCGCCCCCGCCGCCCGCGCCGCCCGCCCCCGCCGCCCGCCCCGCCCCGGCGGCCGCGCTCATTGGCCGCGCGCGCGTCACTCACGGCGCCGCGCGCCCGCCCCCGCCCCGCCCCCCGTCGGAGGCCGCTCAGGTGCGGCCGGCGGCCCGAGGGGGGCGGGCGGCCGGGGCCGCGGCAGGGGAGCCTCGCCGGCCGCCGCGCCCCGGGCCCGCGCTGGCGCGGCCTCGGCCACCGCGGGGGCAGCGGCGCGGGGTTCCCGCGCGCGAGCGCCGGGCCGCGAGGGGCAGGGGGGGCCGGGCCTGAGGCGGGCGGGCGGGCGGGCGGGCGCGGGGGCGGCGGCTGCTCGCGGGCGCGCCGGGGGCGGGGCGGGGCGCTGTGGAGCCCCGGCCGCCCCCCTCGCCCGCGCCCCGCCCCGCCCAGGGCGGCCCCCGCGGAGGGGGCGGCGCGGAGAGCGGGCGGCGCGGGCCGGGGCGGCGGCCCCGCGGCGCCCGCCCGAGCCCGAGGGAAGCGGAGCCGGGCGGGCGCGCCGGGCCGGGGCGCCGGAGGACACCCGGGAAGGCCGCGCGCGGGCCGGGGCCGGGGCCGGGGCCGGGGCCGGGGTCGGACTCGGCCCGCGCCCCGCGACCGCGCCAGAGCCGGCGCCGGCGCCCTCGCGCGCCCCCTCCGCGAAGCCCGGCCGCGGCGCCCGCCCGGCCACCTCCCCGCGGGGCTGCGGACCCGCCTCCCGGCCGCGCGGCGAGTCGCCGAGGCAGATCGGGGCGGCTGGCGCCGGGCCGGCTGGCGGGGCGCCCCGGGGGCCCGCCCTGTGGTGAAGGGCTGCGGGAGGACGGCCGGGATCCGGGGCTCCGCCGGGGAAGCCGCGCCCGGCCCGGTGCCCTGGCCCCGCGCGCAGGCCCGGCCGCGCCCCGCGCTCCGTGGACTCCCGTCTCCCGGGCAGGAGACACTCCCTGCAGCCCAGACCGGGTTCCAGGTGCCAGCGCCGCGGAGGTTCTACGAGGGAGGCCGATGGAAGGCGAGGCGCGCCCTCCAGCCCGCCAGCGGGCCGGGCGCCGCCCCGCGAGGAGCGCGCGGGAACAGAGGGGATGAGTCACGGCAGCTGCCCCGCGCGCCCGGTTCCCAGCGGGGACCCTTCCTGCGCGGGGCTGTCGCCACACGGACAGGCCGCCCTCCAGGCCCGGCCTGCGCTCAGGGACGCCAGACGGCAGCCGCGCGGCCGGGCCCTGGCCCTGCCCTCCCGAAGAAAGAAAACCAGCTCCTCTGCTGAAGCCTCCCTTCAGACGCCCGTCGGCCTGTCACTGTCCTGCCACTGTCGCGCCGCCAGGCAGCCCCGCAGCCCTCTGTTCCGCTCCACCTGCACGACAGCACCTTGCGCTGGGAAGTCGTGTTTCCACAAAGGTACCGCCAATCCCCGACGCTGGCTTTGACAACGCGCTGCTTTGAAGAGGAAAAAGAGAAAAAACCTAGACAAGAGATGACGTGTCTTCACTTCCTTCGCACCCCTGTCTCGGGACGCACCTGCCCAAGTAGGCAGTCCGTTCGTTTCCCGGCCTGCATTTGCTTGCGTCTGCTGAGCCTTCACGGCTAGTGGCAGCCAGCGCTCCGCGGCGTGAAGCTCGCTGTCCTCAGGCCGAGGCCAGGACCCCGCGCCCAGCTGAAGGAGGTTTCAAGGCCCAGCAGCAGGCGAGGCCAAGGCAGGAAGAGCTGCGCGCCCGGATGCCCACCCCTAGCCGTGAGACCTGTCTTCTAGGAAAAGATGCATTTGACTTTCCAAGAAGGAAACATAACCCCTCCTGTTACTCCATGGAAATGTGAGGCTGTGTTAGGCTAGCTAGTCCTACCATACCAGTGCAGAAAAGTCCTTACGGTAATTCAAAAAATAAAACCCAAAATGACTGCGTATCTGTTACATAACAGAACTACCAGAAGACAAAAAAATACTCTCGCTTCTTTTAACAAATGAATGTTGTGCCTCCCTGGTGGCGCAGGCGGTTGAGCGCCGCACTGTGAAGCTGTCCGCAGCCTCTGCCGCGCTGGTTCCATTCCGGCCGGCCGGCGAGAACCCCACACGGTGCGGCAGACCTCTCCTGCCTCGCCCGCTGCTCCCCTCAGCAGTGTATTTCAGTGGATCTGCCTGTTCTGTTCCCCACTCTGTCTCTAGTGATTCCTCTCACCCTCCCGCACATCTGGCCTGTACCCCAGCACTTGTATAAATAAAAAAATAAATCTTTGAAAGAATAAGAAATGTCAAATTTGGGGGTTTTGTTAATGAATTATTCATTTGCCAATTGTGTTTTGAACACCTGCTTTGTGCAAGGCACGGAGCAACATGCTGCGTGATGATGAAGGATTCAGAGACACGGTCCCTCCACCCAAGAAGCCCCGTCACAGCAGTGGGCACACACTAACTTTGCAGACCTATGGGGCAGAGGTGCCACTTCCCCTCGCTATTAGAGAAGGAAACTGACCTTAATATTTGCTTCATGTACAACTTGCTTTATGTTGTAAAATCTCTGACTTTAGCCATGAAGGTAAATATGGGGGCGGCGGGTGCAGGAGGATGGTTCCAGAATGAGGATCTGGAACCATCTGTGCACTCAGATGCCCTCAGTCACAGCTTACCTCTCTTAGCGCACAACTTAGAATATTTTCATTTGCTATTGTTTGGCTAAAGGTAGAGGTATGATCTTAAATAAGGAGTTTGCATTTTTATGTCCTGTTTTGAGAATAAACTGCTTTTTGAAAGTTTGAATTTACCTTTGTTTCTTGGATTTATTCCCTCAAAGCAAAGTCTCCTGATACTTCTACCAAGTACAATCTACCGGCTCACCAGGGAGGGTCTCTGAAATGATTACTCAGCGTAGACTTGATCTGACGTTGGATCTGACATTTACATTGAAAGGGCTAATTTTTATTGTTTATCTCTTGGCTTGCTCTTCAAATTTTGTTGAAAATAAAAAAATCTTATTTTTTCCAGAAGGCATTGTTACTCGTTTAGAGAAGTCATTTCTTTTTTGGTTTTTTGTTTTTAAAGATTTATTTATTTATACAAGCACTGGGTACAGTCAGAAGCGCGGGAGGGTGAGAGAATTCACCAGAGCCAGAGCGGGGAGCAGAGCAGGCAGAAGGACCGAAGGACACTGCTGAGGGGAGCAGCGGGCGGTAGGAGAGGTCTGTCGCGCCATGTGGGACCCTCACCCGGTGGCCGGGGAGCAGCCGGGGATCAAACCGGTGCTGCAGAGGCCGCGGGCAGCTTCGCAACCCAGCGCTCAACCGCTGCGCCACCAGGGAGGCCCTAGAGAAGTCATTTCTTGAGGAACATAAGACAGTGATGGAGTATATTCAGGAATACATTCATTTTTTCCCATCAGGGACCGAACTGTAACGCATGGAATCATATGCTAGACTTAATACGGAGTGGGTGTATTTCACATAAAAGGTGGCAAGACTACAGGTCACCATCCTTCATGTGATTTTAATAAGCACATTCAAGTCTGTTGCATCTACGGTCGCATCCTTCCCGGGTCTCACGAGCCAGGAACGCACATTTTGTTGAGTGAATTTCAAGGACAAATGGGCGTGCAGCTCCCTGGGGCCAGGCTGAGACCCCGGCCACCGGCTGTGTCAGCGTCACCGATACACACAACAAGACGCGAAGAATGTCATCCTGCCCTCCTCCCGGACACTTCCAGTTCTAATTGTATTAGTAACATAAAAACGTACGTCAAGATTCATGGTGCTGATCCTGAATATTTCCACCTAAAATAGCCATGTAGGTGCGATTGCGTTGAACATCCAGGAAGTATTCATGCTGCAAAACTTCATGTTCTCTGGCTTTTCCACAGTGAGAATTTCAGAATATCTGACCTTCAGTGGGCTGAAGTTCACCTCTGGAGTACTTTGAGCAAAGCCCCCACAGCAGAAGGCTCAGGAATCAACCCTGAGGCGCTACCAGGCTGTAGGAGACCAGTCAGTCAATTAGGACAAAGTCTGTCAGGCCCACTAAAAGCACATTTGCACATATTAAACCAGTCTGGTAATGAGAGACGGGCTTCTCTCTTCCAAGGTAGCAGAAGTGTACCTCTGCCGGAAGGTTTACCTATTACCGATGGAAAATTCATGCATACACAAGTAAATATTACGCTATTGGAAAGGAATCTTGCCCTCACCGTGGCCATCTTTCCACTCCTAATTAGCGAGGCTTTACTCTGCTAGCGTGCAGGGCTGTCATCTATGCACATGCACATGCCCACCCTGGGAAGGTAACACGAAGATAAACCAAAGTCTCTCCCTTCGGTAATTGCACACGTTGGTGAGGAGCCACAGGAGATAAATAGGACACACCCCCTGCGGGGGGATGCAGCAAGGAGCCCCCGAGGTGTCCAGTGACAAGGGCAGTGGAGGGGGGGGCAGTGGGGGTGCCCGCTGCCGAGAGAAGA